CCCCCCCCCCCCCCCCCCCCCCCCCCCCGTCCAAACCTGGCAGAGATGGTGCTGGAGGCTTCTGCTGAAGTTGAATGAGTGCAGTTCCAGTGTAAATGGAGTTTCAGAGGATTATTTGTACCTGGTTCCTGTTGCATATCAATATTTTGTGAACATTTTGCCATGTCAACAAATAATGTTTTTCCTAACAGGAGATATCTCTGGGTAGTAGGACTCAAAATGATCACCTTTTTTTTGCTACCATTTGAGCTTTTTACATTGAACAAGTACCACTTTCATATTAGAGGTATAAAAAGCTATTTTTATTTTTAAATTGTTCAACATGATTTTTAAATGACTGCCTAAATTTCCATTTTGTGGCTATAACACACTTTACTTGACCAGTCCCTACCAAGTGGCAAGAGAGCATCACAGTTCAGATGATTTCTCAGAGTGTGGCCCCACAGACATGTTTCCCAGAAACATCCAGAGTGCTTGTTGTGCATGCTGAGGTTTGAGAATCAAAACAGGCTTTCCAGAAAGATCTCTGGCTCTGGGTACCTGATCACTGGGAACCTTATCTGCTTGGGCAGATAAGTGGGCCTTTCTTTGCCTTTCTTGTTGATTTAATGGGGTTCATAATAGTAGGCACCTGTAGAGATGTCACAGGAAATGACACAGATGAAGGATGGAAGGTGAGCACATGCAGGCCCTCTGAAGATACAGTAGCTGAATGGCTGTTCTGTTCAATCAGATGGTTCTACATTCTTTCTCTGTACTGAGATCCAGGGTCTCCAGTGAGCTCAGTCCCTGAGTAGGGACAGGCAGGGGTTGGTGACATGAATCAGAACCCTTTCAGCACTGAAAGGCATGTTTGGTAAGCACATGGAATAGAACAACAGGTCTATTTCCAGGTCTCTACCAAACTTAAAGCTGCAGTGTCCAAGTCTGAACTCGGGGATTAAGGAGATGCACGGATGAGGTCCCCCACCCAACCCAGAAACAGGCACATTCCTTTTTTTTCTTTTGTGGGGTTTCAGAGTAGGAGTGGAGCTCAAGCGAGGAGCCTGTCTGTACCATGTTAACAGGGGCCTGTGAGTGAGGCTAAACCACGGGAAAGGGTTCCCAGAGTCCTATTCTCATTTTACAGATGAGGAGACTGAGGTCCAGAGGGAGCTTACTGTGTGTCAGTAACTGAAGGTCATGCAGCTGGTTCCTAGCAGAGCTGGGAGGCAGAACCAAGCAGTGCAGCTTTAGAAGCTGTGTCCTTAACCACTAGGTTTTGCTACCTCTGTTCAAGCTGTAACAAACATCAGAATCCCCAGAAAGGGGCTGGATAAAATCTTATGCCTCCCTTGCCTCCTGCAACTCTGTCCCTGGATTCTGATTTAGGGGTCTGAGGAGGCCCAGGAATCTGCATTTTTAATAAGGCCCTGGAGATTCTAAGGTGACGCTGCTGAAGCCCCTTGCCAGTGTGAGGCTCATTGCTGGCCCACGGTCTCCCAGGCCAGGGCACGCTCCGCCACACCCAGTGATTCACCTGGAATTTACTCTGTCTCTGCAGATCCAGGTATGACAGTATTGCTTATCCACACCTGTGTTCCACTCCTGTCCCTACCTCCACCCCTTCCTCTTTGCCTTTCCATCCTGTTTTCCAGCTATTGCCACCTGGGCTCTGGCCTTACTTTCCAATCCCCTGACTGATCTTTGTTTCTTTCCTTTGATTATTTAGTATAAGCTCTTTGTCTTTCAGGAAATACTGGCCAACTACTGGTTGAACATCCTTAGGATGGACTGAGCATAGCTGTCCTAGTTGCACAGAGACTTTTTCTCATCTTTTCCTTCCCCTTGCAAATTTCTTCCCTTCTTTTCTCCCAAAGTGGCCATATTTGCCTCTTCTGCTGTTTTCACACCTTCTTTCTGAAATGTTAAAACTAACAACCAAAAGACAGCCCAGCCTTCATTTCTGCTAGAACTGCAAACTACAGCAGGCTCATCTCCACATCTTAGCATCTGTTTTCCTCCTGTGTCAAATAAGGGCCTAGTAAGAAGACCCAGGTTCTAGTCCTGATGCTACCATCTACTCACGGTGTGACCTTGGGCATGTCACAACTGCCTCTTGGGCTTCCTGTGTCATTCTGAAAGGTTGTGTTGAGAGCAGTTAGGAGCAAAGAATCTGGAGCCAGCCTGCCTAGGCAAGGTGTGACCTTGGGCATGTCACAACTGCCTCTTGGGCTTCCTGTGTCACTCTGAAAGGTTGTGTTGAGAGCAGTTAGGAGCAAAGAATCTGGAGCCAGCCTGCCTAGGCAAAATCCTAGCTATGCAACTTGGCAAGTTACTTAAACTCTCTGTGCCTTAGTATTCTCATCTATAAAATGGAGTTAAGAAGGGTAATTTCCTCTTATAAGTGAGTTAAGACACATAACAGTTTCAGAGTAGTGCCTGGCACAGAATACTCAATAGGTGTTATTTTCCCCCAAGTATGAGAAAAGAGGGTGGCTGTAGATGAGCACTTCCCAAAGTGCATTCTATGAGATATTCTCCCACAGGATGCTCAGAAGAAAAGGGGAAAGAGGGTTCCAGGTTCAGCCTTCTGGCAGCAAAAAGAGCTGTTAAGCTCTATTTTGCCCAATTCTAGTTTCTCCCAAACTTACTTGACTACAGAATCCATTTTTCAATGTACCTCTTAACATCCTATGGTTCTTCCATACACTTTTGAGGAACACTGCCCCCAGCTTTGACACGTACAGGAAAGAAGGCAACTTGGGTTATTGAGCCCTTACTGTATGTCACCTTGTGTGAATGACTTTGGAGTGTTTTCTCTAAGCTTCTTTAGGAGGAAACTGAGGACTGAGAGAGTCCCTGATTAACACATCTGTTTTGTTCCAAATCCTAGACTCAACCTACTATTCTTTACTATGTTCTTTGATCCTAAATTTCGACAGGGGGAGGGGTGGAGAAGGCTAAAACTTATATGGCCTGTGGTTTAGGGCTGTCATCTGCAAAGAGAAGTTTGTGGCTCTGGTTTTCGGGAGGCCATGGAGCACTCACACAGCACAGCTTCCTGACACACTGGCACCTAATCAAACTGCCTATCCCTCCACCCCACCCACTGACGTTTACCTCACCCTGAACTCCCTCTGAGAACTGATGGCGCCCACAACCTTCATGAGAACCCATAGTCTCTCTCCAGGTCCTCGCCCCTTGAACACAAATTGAGAGCAACTAGACTTCTTATGATATCTTGGAAATCCCTTTCCCTCTTGGGACTATTTTCCCCAGCTGGAAATGAGAGGGGGTGGAGAAGGAATAGAGTGGACCAGATCAGCGAACTCCGTTTCAGCAGAGCTCGTACCTCTCTCTCCTCTTCACCCAGAGCCCTGTGTTCTACATAATGGAATTACAAGCAAGATTTTGTTTGCCAGTGTTCCCTGGCAATAAAAACTTTAAAGCCAGGGGGACTAAAAACTCTCTGAGGACACCTCTAGTGCTGACATTCAAGGACTCTAATATTTGGCTATTGTCTTAGAAGGCAAAGGCTTCCACAAGCTGATCCCAACTCAGCCAGGATCTCCGTAGCTGAGTGAGCACAGACAGTGTTTGTAAAGCTGCTTCTGTGGGCCAAGGAGGGCTTACCTGGCGACTAGATGGGACCTTCCCTTCCCTGAGAGGGTGAACTAACTGATTGATCCACTGGGCCTTAGTCTTGCCAAACACAGTCATTAAGCTTGGTGTGGACATTTCAAATCACAATCTCGGGCTGGCCAGTTAGGTCAGTTGGTTAGAGTATGGTGCTGATAACATCGTCAGGAAGTTTGATCCCTGCAGTGGCTTATCCTCCTTTCTTGGAGATTGCGAGGCAGCACAGTGTCCTGGAATGCAAAGGGCTTTGGCATTCAGCTTGATTCATCGTTGAATCCCAGCTCTGCCAACTTACTAGCTTTGTGACCTAGTTTCCCTAGTTTTCCTTCCTGGAAAATGGGCCTAATTGTCCCTGTCACACAGAGGACTGTTGTGACATTGAAATGAGATAATGTATAAAAAGCTATTGATGCCATCCTGAATACAAGGGTGAAGCTGGCACTCTCTGAAAAGGGCATTCAGACAGGCACTACATGGCCATTGCTTTTTCCTTGTCTTTCCTGTAGGGCTGTGAACTCATCAAGGGCAGAGACATTAACCTCTCTCCTTAGTGCTGGGCACAGAACTGGCTCAGCAAATGTTTAGTGAATGAGTGAACAGATGTGGAATACTGCCCCTGGGCCCCTTTCTTGATAAACACTGCTGGATCTGCCTGATTTACCAGGACAAAGGACTCTTATGCTTCCATCGTACAGCTCCCCTCAGGGAAGCCTTTCTGGAACTGGAGCAGAATGGCTAGGCCCCAGGGGTAAGTAGGGACAGTGGGACATCCCTGCATAGCCTGAGGGCACTGTGACATCCTGAGCTACAGCTCCCCTCAGGGAAGCCTTTCTGGAACTGGAGCAGAATGGCTAGGCATCAGGGGTAAGTAGGGACAGTGGGACATCCCTGCATAGCCTGAGGGCACTGTGACATCCTGAGCCTGATTGACCCACAAGGATGGACACTCCCCCACCTTCACTTCCACATAGAGCTAGGCCATCTTAATTGCCGTTCTGCTACTGACCTGCTTGGGTAAGTCCCTGCTCAGTCTGGCCTCAGTAGGCCCTGATGACCTCTAATGGCCCTTCCAGCACTTCAGTCCAGTGACCCTATTTTCCCAAGCTTCCAGAGGAGACTGCTGGAGAACATTAGGGACCATGATTTCCACTTCCCTAAGCCCCCTGTGATGCAGTTGCCTTCTCTTTCAGATGCATTTCATCTTCTCAGATAAAGTGGTGCTTCTGTTTGATTTCTGGAGTGTCCACAGTTCTGCAGGTAAGAATTGGGAAGCCCAGACTTATAACTTGAGAAGCCTTATAGTGCCAGGCAGTGGAGAACCTGGGTTCTCTTTATTCTCTGTGGGCATTTAAGTGAGCGACTCTTCTGGTATAAACATTGTGCAGAACTTTGGATTTATAATTCCATTTGCAACCACTACCCTTCAGATTGCAAAGGGCTTCATTATCTCACTGATCCTCACAAAGGCACTGAGAAAGAGGCCTGGTAGGCAGCTTTTCCCTGTATTATAGGGGAAGGAACTGAAACCCATAGAGGAGAAAAGACTCGTGCAGGGTCACACAGTGAGTAATCATTGGAGCCAGAACTAGACCAAGGCCTCCTGTTGCCCCCAGCACCTCCCTCATCCAGGAGTCACTGTCAGCATCAGTTCAGAAGCTCACAGCAGCTGCTGCAGCCTTGGATCTCAGATGAGACACCAATTTGAAAGGGAAGAGTATTCCTTTGACTTGAAAAGGCAGAGTTTGCCACTAATTCATGATGGAGTTACTTTTCAACTTAAATAACTACATCTTAAAAATAGATTCTAACACCAAGGTTCAGGGTTTAATCCCTGTACCAGCCAGCTGTGCCCCCCCCCTTCCCCTCCCAAACAGACTGGAAACAGCCCAAATGGACATCACTGCACATGCGGATCAAATGAATTATGGCCATCCCTACAATGAGTTACCATTCCAGCTACCTACTGCTGAATAAACACAGTGGCTTTAAACGACAGTCATGTTATTATTCTCTTTCAAGGTTCTGTGAGTTGACTGGGCTCAGTGTGGTCCTCACTCAAGATCTCTCATGCAGGTATAGTCAGACAATTGCTGGAACTAGAGTCATCTGAAGAGTTCCTCACTTTCATGCTGGTTGTTAGCTAGGACCTCAGCGGGGTTGTTGGCCAGACATCTACATGTGGCATCTCCTATGGCCTGGGCTGCCTTGTGGCAGAGTGGCTAGGTCCCAAGAGAACAAGGTAGAAGTACATGAGATTTTTAAGACCCAGCCTTGGAAGTCACATAGCATTACTTCTACCTGTACTGGCTGAGGTGGTCACAAAGGGCTTCCCAGGTTAAAGGGGAGGGAACATGGATCTTACCACTTGATGGCAGGAATGTTGACACTGTAGGAACAGCATGTGGGGTGGAATATATTGGTGGTTGTCTTTGGAAAATATGATCTCAAAGATGCTATGAGGCCACTGGGAAAAATAAGGTAGGTCTGTGTGAACTAAATGGAACCCATATTCAAGGTACAATTGGATGATAAAGACAGACACAGAAGAGTACACATGGAGAGGATGCTGTCATTTGGACAAATAAAGGCTTATATATACATTTAGTAACAGGGTTGCTCTGGGTAGGCAGAAAGTTCCAACCCTCTAATCACATGGTTGGTTCCCCCAGCAACTACCCCCCATCCTGAGGCTATCCTGGAACCCCCAGAAACCAGTTATCTTATTAGAATACAAAAAGATTTACCACTTTCGGAGTTTCCAAAGGTTTTAGGAGCTCTGTACCAGGAAACACAGGGCATAGACCAAATGTTTATTTCTTACTAGGTCACAGAGCCCAGAGAAATATTTAGCTGCACCATTTGCCCCCATCCTGAGGCTATCCTGGAACCCCCAGAAACCAGTTATCTTATTAGAATACAAAAAGATTTACCACTTTCGGTGTTTCCAAAGGTTTTAGGAGCTCTGTACCAGGAAACACAGGGCAGAGACCAAATGTTTATTTCTTACTAGGTCACAGAGCCCAGAGAAATATTTAGCTGCACCATTTATTATCCCTCCACATGTGAAATAGAAGTAGCAACTGGCAGTTGATTTTACACAGCAGCTCAGTAAGCACTTAATGTTTTCTGGAAAATAACTGTTTTTCCTCCCGCTCTTATAAAAGTAATACGTACTCATAGGAGAAACTTTAATTAGGCAAGAAGAAAATGAAAACCACCTGTATACTTTGCTGAGCTAACTATTCCTCCTTTACTGTATACCCTTCCTTCCAGACCCTTTCTGTATATATGTAAACAGGACCTTGCTGTAGGTACTCTTCTCTTAACAGGAGGTCATGACAGAGATCTGTGCCACTTGCTGGGGGAGTGGCTGGGCGATGGTATATCGCTTCTTCAGCTTCAGTCCCTGGTTTTTCTAGGTTTCTTCTCTTCCTGATGTCCAAACTACACTCCAGTAGGCCAATCCTACCAAGAAAGGTCTGGAGAGGGAGAAGGGACAGTGAAGAAGTTCTGAGCTCAGTGAGGGTGGGGAAGAAGATGCAAGAGAGGTCAATGCAGTGGCTTTGGAGGGAGTGGGTGAAGGTGCTCTTCTGCCACCTTGGCCACATCTCCGGGAGCGGCTAGAAGGGAAGCAGTGCTTGCCAGGTCAGTCCTCTGCAACGCAGCCTCTTTTGACAGGCATGGCCCTTTCGGTGTTGGTGGTCCTGCTCCTGGCTGTACTGTATGAAGGCATCAAGGTTGGCAAAGTCAAGCTGGTCCACCAGGCTCTGGTGAGCCTGCCCACCTCCGCCAGCCAGCAGAACATCGCTGAGACAGACCTGGATTCTGCAGGCACAGATTCACCCCCAGTCAGCAGAACCCGCCTCAGGTAGAGGCACTCAGTGTGGGGAATGGGCAGAGTACTCACATTCACCCTGAGCCCAGAGAGCATCACCCCACTTCACAGAAAGGAAATTGGGGCCCAGGGAGGACAAGGACTTGCCAAAGTGGTTACAGTTAGAACAATGAATGAGAGCTCAGGTCTCTTGATGCCCAGGCCAAAGTTCTCTCTATGAACAGCCACTTGGGAGGCTCAGAAGGATTTCATTAGGGAACTGTGATCTTCAGAACTCTGGTGTAGGCCTTTATCTAGCAAGAGCTGTGGCCACTCAGCCCTCCCCTAGGTCACTAGGCTTCCAAACCCAGGAGGGGATCTGCAGCTGTCCAAAAGCAAGTGATAAAAATTGCTGTCAGCAATATATCCCATTGGCGGGGGAGGGAGGCACCCTCTTCTCTCCTTTCCTCCCTTCCCTTCCCACTGTGATTGGGCAACCATTTAGGGTCCCTATTCTGCCCTCTCTCCAGCTCCAGCCTCACCTGTGCTTAGTGAGCCTGCCTGCTCCATCACCAGCTACCCTACATGGGTGTCTCACGTCTTCACAAGCACCCTGCAAGGTGTTCTTATTCCCATTTTACTAATGAGGAAATTTAAGTTTAGAGAGGTTAAGACATTTGTGCTAGGCCACATTTAGTAAGTGGCAGAGCTGGGAACTGATTTGTCACCAAAGTGCATGCTCTTTTCATTGTCAAACCACCTCCCGCAGTAGATTCGGGGGAAAAGTCTGCCTACCTGATGATTTCCTCATATCCCTTATCAGACAAGATTCATATCTCATCATTTTCCCTTCTGCCTAGGATTCTAAGAAGCTCAGAGTTAAATGTGGTAGAGATATGTCTCTCTAAAAAGAAATCTCTCCTGTGTTGAGAATACAAATTATAAGCCAGTCCTCTAACTCAATAGCCCTTTCTACTCCCTGACATCAACTCCCAGTTTCCAGCTCATTACCAGCATTAACTTGGTTCTCCTTTTTATCTAGGTGGGTTTTGTGTCACCTTGGCCAGTCGTTAATCCACGTAGCTCAGGTGGTCATCGGCTACTTCATGATGCTGGCTGTAATGTCCTACAACACGTGGATCTTCCTCGGTGTGGTCCTGGGCTCTGCTGTGGGCTACTACCTAGTCTACCCATTTCTCAGCACAGTTTAGCTGAGGAGGGATGTGCAGGCACTGATGCTTGAGGGAACTGGGACCTCTTCTTCCAGATACTGAGTGCAGCTGCGTTTTCTTATGGCTGTTCCTCACCTAGTTCCCAGACCCTGGAAACTTTGAGCTGAAGCCAGCACTTGTTCCCTGGAGTTCAGAGGCCATTGCAGCCACCTTCCTCCTCAGCCAGCCTGCACAGGGCCCAGGCCGAGTCTTGTGCCTTAAGAAGGCTGCTGTGACCAAAGGGAGAATGGAGAGAACAGAACCTGTGGGTGGGGTTGCTGAGCCCATGACAGTACATCTCTGTGAGTCAAAACTTAATAATTTCCAAAGATCTTCAAGACAGGGAGATGGGTTCTGAGTGATGAAGAGCATGGAACCTGATACCCTCTGCTCTCCTGCTTTGTGCCTTATCTACAAGAGCATCTTCCATTTGACTTCCTGACCTCTTCTGCCTTTGGGAGACAGAAACCAAACTAGCTCCCTTTTCTCACCTTTCTGCCTTTGGAACACATGAAGATAGTCTCTACTACGGATCATGTTGACAAAGATTTTTCATTTTTCCCACTGAACTCCTGGTTGGCAATTTTGCATATTCATACAAAACAAAATTTTAAATGAAATGATTTCATTTTATTCATGAGGGATGGCAACATCTGCTGAGACCTGTTTGCCTTTCTTGTGGGGAGAATAAGTGACACCTGAGTAAAGGCAGAGGGGAAGGATTGTTATCAAACCTTCTGGCTTGTCTGGATAGACTGAGCTCCTCCCATCAGATGGCATTGCCTGCAGGAGGAAGATCATCTAATAGCTTTGGGTGTCTGGGAAGCTCTTCATGGCCTTAATGTCTCCTCTTATCCTGATCCTCCTTTTTTGTAGAACAGAAAACTGCACTTAATACTATTCAATACTTAGTATTCTCTATTTATTACTGCTCACTCCTAATGATCTAGTGGAGAAACTGATTCATTCACTTAAAATACTGGGTAAGCCACGCTTGTCATGCAATAAGCAGTCAAACCAAAGCCATGAACAGTTTTAGAGTTAGATGGGACTCTCCAAATAGTTGAGCCTCTTCACTTTATGAAAAAAGGAAACAAAGATCCAGGGAGAGAAAACCACTGCTGTATACTGAGATATCTATGCTCAAGTACCTCATGGGCTAGGTGAAAAGATGGTCTTAAGCTTTGGGAATTAAAAACAAATACGCTTTAATAAATATATATTTTTAAACAGTCTGTGACTGATCTGTTTCTCCTCATTCTAACAGCGAGCACACGATCCCCTAGAACAACTGCAGGACTGAGTGGGGTAAATGGAACTAACTGGCAGCTCTCTATGAGGATCTTTGAGGAGCATGTCTGTCCCCCTGCTATGAAGACAACTCTGTGCTCAGGGAAACCCAGCCCTGAAATACTGTGCCCATTATAAGAAAAATCACTATAACATGGACTATAAAAACCTGTGTTGGCACGATTATTAGTACCTTCTCTTCCTAGGGGCAGAAACAAAAATATCACAACCACTTTTTAATTTATAAGAAGTAACTGAAAGTAAAGTACGTGACACCTTTGAGATTGATCAGTGCATTCTCCCCATGTGTGCAGGGACTGGGAAAGCTGTCCAGTGTCTCAAAAGGTATAAGATTTCTGACATCCAGTGTAGTCCTGCTGAGGGAGCTTCATCAATCCATCTCTAAGTCCTGACCAGCTATGGCTCGCTCCCCTGGGGCACCTCCATGGGTGATTAGTAACCTCTTCAATTTGATACCGTCTCTTTAATTGTGGTAATATATTTGTGGCTTTTATAGTATAGAGGGCTTAAAATTTTTTAAAATCTATGCTGTAGAGATTGATTATATACTTAAACTTAGTTAATCCATTGCTCTCATTTCAACATTCTTCAGAGCCAAGTCACAAAGGATGGTATTTTCCCTACTTAGATGGTTTTTTAATGTAACAAATACATATATAGTGCTTATTATGTACCAGGCAGTGTTCTAAGCACTTTACAAATATTAACTTATTTAATCCTCACAAGGTAGAAATTATTTCTGTCCTCATCTTAGAGATGAGAAAGCTGAGGCACACAGAAATTAAATAAATTCACCCAGCTAATAAGTGGCAGAGCCAGGCAGCCTGGCCCCTAGTCTATTTCTGCATCAACTCAGATGAGCAGGTAGAGGTGGAGAGGGAAAGTAAGTTGGCAAAGGCCACCCAGCGACCAGTGAAGCAGGGATGTAAATGTAAATCGTGAATACTGAAAATCCTGCACTCTTTTTATTTTACCATAAAATTCTGTTTCAGGAGATTTGGGGTGGGAACTGGGAGCCTGTACTTCTAAAAGCATCACCGCCTCCTTGTCCCAACCCAGTGATGGTCAGGCAGGGAACACTAACATGCTGGCCAAGGGCCCAGGCTCTGAAATCAGATGGCCAGGGTGTGAATTCTTGCTTCTGCACCTACTAGCCATGTAACTTTGGACAAGTTACTTCAACTCTTTAAGTCTCAGTTTTCTCCTCTATAAAATGGGGATAACATTTTTTTCTATAAGGGTTGTTGGCAATAACACAGTCTGCGTAAAGAGTCAGACAGCAGTGCCTACGTGTTAAACAACAAAGTTCAATAAATGGTCGTTCTCCTGGGCCCGCATGTGGGAGACAAGCATAAAGCCTGCAAGGATAATGTCTGGCCAGATGAGTGGAATTTGTGTTCCTATCTTATAAAAACTTAAAATCAAGGGATATTTTAAATTAATGATTCTACTTTTTGATGACTGGTTGCATGGTCTTTGGAAGATCCTAGAATAAGTAAAATGACCACAAAAATTTCACTGCTCTTCTTTGCATGATTCCTGGCCCCAAGTTCAGAAGGAATGGAAGCTGCTTTCAAAGTGAAGAATCCCTCAGGTGCCATGGACAGTGGCATGTAGAGACCCTCCCGCCTTCTCTGATTGGCGTTCTAGGCTGTAGGACCAAGCCTGCAGGAGCAAGTGGACGACAGGACTGGTCCTCAGATAACCACAATGCCCTGAGCCTTACACGACTGAGATGAGCTGAGACAGCAGAGTAGTGACTCTCTCTGAAAGCCTGAAAGTTCTAGGGTTAGGCACCAAAGGGACGTATCACAATACGTTTCTGCACATTATCTGACCCAGACCTGTCACAACTCCTACTGTTAGCCCTTCAATCCAAACTCAGTTTCTCTCCAAGGACTCAAGTCAAGTTTCATTGCAGACATTTATTTTAGTTTTGTTAGTTTCATATATTCATTGACCTCTTGTATCAGATTTAAGGCAGAGAAAAGACACGTCCCAAGACTGCAGGCAAGGCTGTTAACCGCACCAGGATTTAGATGGTATAATCTACCCTTGGTTCTATGAGGGATACCCCAGCCCAGGGAACAGGTCTTGTCGCTGGGGCACCGTTGAGCCCTAGGAAGCAGTTGGAGAAGTACTCCCAAGTCAGTCTGAGAGTTAATGAAGAGAATAAAAAGCTTGAAAGAGGATAGGACTCCTATAAGTCACTGGCTGCAGGGGAACCTACTAGCCCTTCCTTCAACTGGCTGCTGAAAACACCAGCTTTTCTGAAGACAGGCTCACACTCCTCTTCACCAGGTCAGGTGGGGGCCTCAGAAAGTGGCTAACTCAGACACCTGAACTACTGTCCTCAGGATGCTCACCTTGACCTCGCCCTGTGGCTCACCTAGACCCAGGGCTGGCTGTGCAAAATCATGCTTGGGGAAGGGTTGGTGGAGAAGCCTGTGCACCAGTCTCCTGGGTCTTCATCCCAGCCAGTCAATGTCACCGTCATCATCATCATCTCCAAAAAGGGGTGTTGGGGGCGGGCGTCCCTTCATGCTCTGACAAAACAGGAAAGAGTAGTCAGTGCTCGCTGTCTCTACACCAGCTGGACTTCTTGCCTGTGAGGTGAAGTGATCTAACATCTGTTCCTGGCTCTGGGTTAGAAAGGAGAGGGTCCTGAAAGGACTGCCCCTGAGGCCTTGCAAACCTCATGCTCTGACAAAACAGGAAAGAGTAGTCAGTGCTCGCTGTCTCTACACCAGCTGGACTTCCTGCCTGTGAGGTGAAGTGATCTAACATCTGTTCCTGGCTCTGGGTTAGAAAGGAGAGGGTCCTGAAAGGACTGCCCCTGAGGCCTGCAAACCAAGGCTTCCAGATAGCTGAGACAAGCGTGCAGAGAAGGGAGGCAATCTTTTAACAGAGACAAAAGACCAGCTTTGTTTGGCTAATTTTGTTATTTATTTGTGAAGCACATGTATTGATTTGACAGGTTTTCCTCTCATGTGGAAACACACATTTTGAGTGGAAAAAGTAGGGTCAAAGAGGTGGGAAGGGAGTAGGAGAAAGAAACAGAGGACTAGAGCAGCCCTAAGAGAGGAGAGAGGATGCAGGAAGATGAAGGCAGGGTGGGAAGAATACAATCACATTTGAAAAAACACTGTTGTTGTGGCCTAAGGTGGCCTGACTGGCTCTGGACATGAACCCCATCATTTGAGAGGGTTGAATTTGGAGGCTTGGACACATTCCCAAGTGGAGAATCCCAAGAGATGAAGGAAGCCCAGGAACACAGGGCCCCAGCCTCCCATTCCCCTGGTCTCACTGGCCTCACCCATGTTCCCTCCAACCAGGTAAGAGGATAAAGTGTATTAATGGGCCATGAGAGACTCTCCCACCCTTTTCATGACTTGAGCTCCTGGCCCTTTTCCTCTGAATTGGCAGGAAACAGGTCCCATGGGGGTAGCAAGGACGGAGGCTAGAGACAAGCACAAACTGAATAGTCTCTACTAAGGTACCTTCTCTTCTTGCAAACTACCATTGACTGGAATCAGTCTTCACAGAGCCAGGCCAAAAGGAAGGCAGTGGGGCGAGTACAGAGGTCTCTGAGCTAATCCTATCACGAACACCTACTAACGGACTTTGGACTTCCCTCTGGGCATCTATTAAGTGATCTCTAAACTCTGAAAGTATAGGATTTCCAAGTGTGGCCCACAGCTTCTGTTCTGTCCTGGCTAAAGTTCTGGCTCTACATTCACCAGCATTTATAACCTTAGTTATAACCTTAGTTATGTTATTTAACCTTCCTAAGCCTCAATCCTCTGATCTATAAAATGGGACAAAAGGGCCTTCATCACTGGATTAGCAGAGGACTAAATTAAAATGTTCGTAAAGTAGTTTTCAGAGTATCCAAGAAATAGATGTTACTTGATGGTATTAGCATTAATATCAATAATGTGCTATGAATTTAAAAAGTTCAACATAGAGCTGGCTCGTGGCTCACTTGGGAGAGTGTGGTGCTGATAACACCAAGGCCATGGGTTCAGATCCCCATATAGGGATGGCCGGTTAGCTCACTTGGGAGAGCATGTTGCTAACAACGCCAAGTCAAGGGTTAAAATGAAAAGATTAAAAAGTCTAACATATGGGGGCCGGCAACACTGAGGGTTGCGATCCGTTGCTGGACACGGAAAAAAAAGACAAAAAGACAAAAAATAAAAAATAAAAATAAAAAAAATAATAAAAAGTTCAACATAGAGCTGGCTCATGGCTCACTTGGGAGAGTGTGGTGCTGATAACACCAAGGCCATGGGTTCAGA